ATTTTAGTATGAAGATTTGTTAATTTATGGAGGATAATGAGCTTCTGGTATATAATTCTGGCCACTAGATTTATATTTTTTGCAACCCTCATTATTATTGCTCTTTCTAGCATTTCCTTGTTGTTGATGTTATTACCCTAACCCTGGTTTCCCGTCTAATAAATATTCTTGTACTTAACATGAGAAATATTCAGTCCTTAAATAGATCCATGATCCCATCCATTTGGGTATTCCCCTCAATGATGATGATTACAGCCCATCTATACTTGCCCTTCCTGTGAAATTCCTCTTAGCTAGGTCCTCTTAGCATGCCTCGTGTTTTCTTGACATTGAGAAAATACCAAATGGAGCATGGGCTCATCCACCAGCTGGCCCTTACTCTTGCTGTGTGCACACCTGATCTCCTCTTTCCTCAATACATTTCTTGGATGCCATCATTTCCCCAACTTCTTTGTAATCTCTTGTTTGCAATGTGCTGCAGCCTCTTCCTGCCTATGGCCCATCTCTCCCTTGCCCTTTGGGTGATCCTCAATTTCAGTTCTTCAGAGATGGTAGGATTTCATGACTTACAGCCATACAACATTGGGAGAATGAACTAAAAAGAGGTCTTTGATGAAGGGGGAAGCTCAGAGTCATTGAAAGAACATTGCACTTTCCCAAAAGCAATTCAGCCTTCCTTTCTCCTCTTGTTCAATTGTGGGCTCAATTCATTGTTCATTTGCTGCATTTGTTCAAGACACACACATGCGTGCATATATACTCATACAGACAGATATGTGTGTGTGTATATATATATATCTAGATACACATATGTAGATATGTATGTGCGTATGTATCTACGTATGTATATGTGTATGTATATATGCACACTCACACATATCATCTATCTGGTGAGATCTGTAGGCTGTCCATTCAGCTGCATATCATTGACTGGACGGTGCTAAGCACTTTACAAATATATCATTTGATCCTCACAACAACCCTATGAGATGGGTGCTATGATTAACCCCACTTTACAGTTCAGGAAACAAGCAGATAGAGATTAAGTGATCTGTCCCAGGTCACACAGCTAGCAAGTATCTAAGCCTAGACTTGAACTCAGCAATGAGTAGATTAGTGTCAGTGAAATCACTTAAGTTTTTAGAGGCACTCTAGCCCAATTTGTCATATTCAATTCAGGACCAAATCTATTATCCATAATACAACATGTGGATGGCTGGGCCAAATTCTTTTGAGTGATTATGGTGTAATTTAGGAGGATCAGGCCCTTGATGCTATTAGCACAGTGTCCCATCCAGAGGACCCAAAGGCCATCCCAACTCAACCAGTACCATGCACTGAATCTCCTCTAAGACATTAGTAAACACATTTGTTTAGCATATTTCTTCCTGATTTATCTCTTCCTTGATATTGACTACATCGGAAGTGCATTGAATAAGGCCATTGGGATCATCACCATAGCACTGGAAGGTTGTCTCTGCTATTATATCTTTCAAGAAACTTTATATAATTTTGACGTATACATTAAAGATGACTTGTTAGAAGAGGGCCATTGAAACTGAAGCAGTCAACAAACTAGAATCATAGTGAGATCTTGTATTCTTTATGTCTCTGAGTCAATTATGCAACAGTAAAAACATGGTCCATTATGGAACATTGCTAGCAAAAGCTCACCTCAACTATCCAAGAAAAAAAGAAAAATACATGATCAATACAATATTCAAATTTAAACTAAAACTACTTTGGCGTCAACTTCAATTGTATGCGTGTGTGATGCCTACTTTATCTGAAGAATTTCTGTCAATAATATTGACTCCTTTCAATGAGGCATAGGGGTGTGTGGGGGGGAGATTATAATGAATTCGGGATAATAATAGAATCTCATCATTGGAAGAAACCTTCATTTTAGCCTTGATTTCAAAAGCCAAAGCCATCTGCTAAATCCTCCCCAAAATATCCCTGACAAATGGTCATGTGGCCTGTGTTCCAAGGCCACTCACAATGGGAAGTTTACTATGCTCTATAAGGCAGCCCACTCCATTGGGGGCAGCTCTAAGTATTTTTCTATGTTGAGTTGAAATCTGTTTCCCTATAACTTCCATTGGTTGCTCCTAGGTTTTGCTCTTTGGGGCCAATCAGAAAAGGTCTAGTCTCTCCTCTGCCTTTAAATACTTAAGCACTGATCTTGTTTCTATCCCACTCTGCACAGGGGCTCTTCCAAACATTTTCATCTCTCAAACCTCCCATGGCTCCTACTTCCCCACCCTCTCAGGTGAGAACCTTGTCTTCTATTGTATAGAACAAACTTTTATCATAAGCCCCCTCTTCTCCTCTCTTCCTCATCTCTTATCACTCAAATGCCTTTCCTCCTTCACTCGTCTCATATGGTGAGGTGGCCCTACGCCTTAGCAAGGCTAACCCCTCCTACCTGCTCAAGTGATCCCATTCCATCTTGTCTCCTCCAACAGATTGCTTCCTCTGTCATCCTCACTCGATCATTTATTTTCAGTCTCTCCCTGTCTGCCTAGCTCATTCCCTAATGCCTATAAACATGCCCATGTCTCTCTGATCCTCAAAAATAAAAACTTCTCTTGATCCTTCCATCCCTGCTATTATCCTATATCTCTTCTGCCTTTTGTGGTCAAACTCTTTGAAAAGGCTATCTACAATTGGGGCTTCCACTTTCTCTCCTCTCACTCTCTTCTTAACCCCTCACAATCCCACTTCTGGCCTTATTTCACTGAACCTGCTCTCCAAAGTTACTAATGATGTCTTAGCTGCCAAATCCGATGGCCTTTTCTCAGTCCTCACTCTCCTTGCCGTCTCTGCAGCCTTTGACACTGTTGCCTCTCTCCTCTTTGATACTCTGTAGGTGTTGGGGACATGACTTTCTCCTGGATCTCCTCCTACCTCTCTGCCCACTCCTTCTCTGTCTCCTCTGCTGGATCCTCTTCAAGAGCACACCTCCTAACTATAGCTGTCTCTCAGGGTTCTGTTCTGGGCCCCCTTCTCTTTTCCTTTTATACTATTTCATTTGGCGAGTTAAATTACCATCTTAATGCTGATAATTCTCAAATCTACCTATCCTGCCCCAATCTTTCTGCTGACCTCCAATCTTGCATCTCTAACTGCATTGCAGACATTTCAAATTGGATGTCCAGTTGACATCTTAAATTCAACTAAACTCATTATCTTTCCCCAAATCCTCCCCTTCCCTATTACTGTGGAGGGCATTGCCATCTTCATAGTCCCCCAAGGCTCACAACCTAGGAGTCATCCTGGATTCCTCACTATTTCTCAGCCCCCATATCCAATCTGTTGGCAAGTCCTGTTGATTTCACCTTTTCAACATCTCTTGAGTATGTCCCCTTCTCTCCTCTGCCACCACCTCTCTGGTGCAGGCCCTCATCACCTTACAACTGGATTATTGCAATAGTAGTTGGAGGGTTCGTTTGCCTCAAGGCTCTCTCCACTCCAGTCCATCCTCTAGTCAGCCACCAAAGTGATCTTCCTCAAGTGTATGGTCAAGTGACCACACCACCCACCTACTCAATAAACTTCCCTGGCTCCCTATTACCTCCAAGATCAAATAAAAAAATCATCTGTTCACATTCAAAGTCCTTTAAAGGTGCCCCTCCTACCTTTCCAGTCTTCTTACACCTTACTCCCTGACATATACTCTTTGGTCCAGTGACATTGACCTCCTGGCTGTCCCATGGTCAAGATATTCCATTTTCCTGCTCTAGGCATTTTTTTCTGCCTGTCCTCCATACCTGGGACACTCTCCTTCCTCCTCTCTGACTACTGACTTCCCTGGCTTCTTTTGCATTCCAATTCAAATCCCATCTTGTACTAGAATCCTTTCTTAACCTCTCAATTATTTTCTATTTATCCTGTATATAATTTATAGTTTATTTGTTGTCTTCCCTATGGGATTGTAAGCTCCTCAAGATGAAGGATTTTTTTTTGCCTCTTTTTGTCTCCCTAGAGCTTAGCACAGTGCCTGGCACATAGCAGGCACTTAATAAATGTTTATTGATTTAATTGGTTGTAAGTCACTCAACCTTATTGAGGCTCAGGAAACTCTCAGGACTCATCTCCTCAGTCACTGGCAGATTGTGAGAGGGATCTGTGTTGGTACCAGGAATTTCCCATGCTAACAGACACAAATCCTTTGCATACTTATGTATTCCCCTTGCGACCCCTCAATGTTAGTAGAATTCACATCTCTAACAGATAACCAGGAACACTGCTGATTTTCCCCTCCTTCATTCTCTCCAGATGGGGCCAGGGAAGGTGTTGAGAGCTTTTAATCTTTCAAAATACTGAAAGCCATCTTGGTTTGGTATAAGTGGTTATGCAGTCTCAAGTAAAGAAATGGATCAGAGACTCACTGATTTGTGAAAACTGGTTGTTCGATTAAAAACCTAACTTAGCTACACAACAGTGTCGTCTCCTCTCAGTCCTCTGATTTCCTTCTGCCTTCTCCTACTGGGCTGGGGCATCCTTGGCTGACTGGCCCATCAGAGGCATTGAGCTAAGGGCTGAAAGATTGGACATCAATCAGTCCCCATGAACTAAAATCATCAAAAACCTTATAATAAAAATGAAGCCAAAACAACCCAGAGATACATGGTCGACTAACCTCTTGGCTGAGGTATTATCTCTTCTTAAAAGTAGTTGGATATGGACAGCTAGGTGACCCAGTGGACAGAGCTACCAGCCTTGGAGTCAGTGGGAACCTGAGTTCAACTCTGGCCCCAGATATCTACTAACTGTGTGTCCCTGGGCAAGTCACTTCATCCTGACTGCCTCAAAAAAAAAAAAAAAAGTAATAGGCTAGATGGAGAGCTGGCCTCAGAACGTAGGCAGATCTACATTCATGTCCTGCCTTTGACATGTGGGACCTTGGCCAGTCAATGGACTTCTCATTGCTCTAAACAACTCTCTTCAAAGTCATCATTTTTTTTATAACTAGAAAATAAATAAAAAAGTTAAAATTTAGTTAAAAGCTTTTACTGGTGTGGGAGAAATATCATAAAACTTTGTTTTTTAATGTGAACACATCACTTCACACAATGAAAAACTATTTACAATGTGTTGCTGCAGTTTGGTCGCTCGTACATTCAATAGACAAGTTTGCAGAAACGCTCTGGCAGAAATCACGCGCATCTGGAGACGGGGGCCCGAGGACCGATTGCTCGCTCTTCTTCCTTGTACCCCACGGGCTCTCCCAGAGTGCCCCGAGACTTCAGGGAGCACCGTCTGATTACATTCTCCTTTTTAATTATGGCTCAGCAAGCATACCCCCCCCAAATCATTTGTCACCCTAATACCTCAGATCAGCAGAAAATCACACATCCAGAAAAATGGGTCGGTTCTAAATCCCCCCGCCCCTAACACCATTTGTCAAGCCGCGCCAACTGTAATTGCTTTTGTTCAAGAAAAACGAGTTTGTTTCTCAATGGAACTACGATGAATGATCTGTTCTTTGCACTGTTACTGAATTATGACATCTGTTACACAAATATAGTATATTTTGGCCAGTAACATAATTTCTTTTGAAACAATTTATTCGCCTTCACAAGCAGAATTGCTACGTACATTCACAGTTGTAATAGACTGCAACGAACTATTCCAGTTGTGCTTTAAGATTCCAAATAGAATTTTCATTAGTGAGTGCAAAGCCAGTGTCTGTCCCGTGTGCCTACAGTTGGTCCTAGAGTTATAAACTCCATAATGACTAGGCGAGAGCTCCATCATTCTCCGTTCTCATCGTTGGCTTTTTCCGGGATGACCTCCAGGCTCCTCCTCGTCTTGGGGGCTGAGTCCGAGTTTTCAGTGCCTGGTTTATTCAGTCCACAGGAGAGAGCGGCATAATGGATTTGTTTCAGGTTCTCCAATGTCTCATTTTTAGCATATTTCAGAAGATCAGCCTGTCCCTGGAAGAACAAACGCACAGATATTAGTTATGGGTGTTTCTGCCACAGCAGCCTGGAAAGGAGGCAGTTTGTCCACCCTAACCAAAATATTTTGAGGTAGGGAGATACCATATATTTCTTTCTCTCTGGCATTGCATCCAAATGGTTGGATCAACTTCCAGAAAACAGGAGTCTGTTTTTTCCCCCAAACTGTTTTCAATAGCATTTCTGAAGGAGTCTGGGAAATAAAGATGCAATCTGTCTGGGAAGAAAAGTCTCCCCATGTACATCATTTCCTTGACCTTTCACACTCTTACTTTTCTTTCTTGTATTATTTCTCATTCTTCCCCCAACTTTTCTTTCTTTTAAAATTTACTTTTTTGAAGCCAATAACATCTTTCCCACAAAGGTTAAGAGCTGTTACTCAACATTTTGTGCCCTTGGAAATATTTTATAACCAAATATTTAGACTTTTTATGACCCAATGGGACAGTAAGACTCCCTGAGGACCCCGCTTAGCTAGGATGGCAGGATTTCAGGCCTGGATCTTCTATTTGCTCATCTCAGAGATTCAGTGAAGCAGAGAAATTCCTACTTTTTGTGTGGGGATGATAGTGGCAAATGTGTTCAGTGAACTGTGAGAAAATTAGAGAAATTAGAAATTTAGAAAATTTGAGAAAAGGACTATTTGGTCAAATTAAGCTGGAGACCTTGTGTTGATTTATACTTTAATACATGGTTCTAAAAATATTTCGACAATTGTATTTCAATATAATTGACTTCCTCTGTAATCCTAAATATTTTATTTTATGTAAAACATAATACTTAGAAGAGGCCTACCCATACGTTTTACTAGATTGCCAAAGGGGTCCATGATGAAAAAAAGGTTAATATTCCCTGCTTTTATCTGTCATCTCCTAAATATTGACACTCATTCTACTGGTAATAATATGATAATAATAAAGATGATCAATGTTTAACACTTGAAGGCTTGTAAAGCGCTTTACTAAATACATTATCTCATTTGACCTTCAACACAACACTATGAAGTAGGTGCTATAATTATTTCCTTCTTATAGGTGAGGAAACTGAGCCATAGAGAAGTTAAATGGCTTTCCTGCTGTCACAGAGCTAACAAGTATCTAAAGAAGGATCCAAACCCACATCTTCCTTACTCTTAAGCCCAATGTGCTCACCTATGATGCCATGCTGCCTATCGAGAGGACAACCTATCCACATCTTCTCAACCACTAAGATTCTTGTCCATGCACTACCATACATTCTTTCTGTAGGATCTACCCAATGGGCTGGAAACTATTCTCTAATTCTTTAAAACAAACAAATAAACAAAAAAACCCCCAACAACTCAGTTTCCCTATCTCTCCCTTGCTAGAAGAACAGGAGGTTTGACCTACTCCATTTCCAACCCTGGGCTAGTTTACCTTCTTTTAGACAATCTAATGGCTCCCCACTAGTAGGGGCTCACCACTGTGGTGATGACCCTAGTGTAGACACTTAATCTGCATAGCCCGGCACCTTAGGACTCCTGACCTTGAGAGTCTGGCCAGACTCTGACTCCCTGGGTGCAGGGATGTAGGCGTGTGCTGTTATACCCAGTGTTTCCAGCCTTTTTAATGTTTCCTGCATACCAGCAGAAGGCTAGGGCTGCCCATCAGTTCTGCCTCACTCTTGCTACATGACTGGTCCCCCTCCCTCTCTAGTCATATATGTCCTAGATGAGGTTTATTTATAGTTTCTATTTCTAGTCATCAATTTAAGCTCTTTATAGTTGCTATTTATGTTCATTAATGGACATTAGTCAGTAAATGATCATATTATTGAATGGAAAATCTGATGTGGGGCTGACTTCCCTCACAATTTCTGTTTCTCTCCTCTTTGCTCTTTTCCTCCTTTCCTTGCTTCCTACCCATAATGCCTTTCCACTCACACAATCCCTCTTATTTCTCACTTCAATTGTTGCCTCACTTACCTCTTCTATTGGCTACATTATCCTTCTTTCCTCCTTGTTCTTTGATTGTCTTCACAACCCCCACCCCTTTCCTTTCCCTTTCCTGGAACAACCCCTTCTTTTTTTCTTCAAACTTTGTGGTTTACCCCTAAATTTGATTCCTGTAAGACCCAGAGATTCTTTACAATGGAGTTGCTTTGGGTGGTCCTCCCTCATGTAAAGTCCTTCTATAGACCTGATGTCCAACACACAGGGCCAGCTGCAAAGGATGGGGACAGGTGACACTTACAGAATCATCAGTTTCCCCTCCCTGGCAGCCAGCTGCAGGAGAATTGAGTTTTAGCTCCTGGGGGGACAAATTGCAGGGCCATTTTAAGCTGCTGGGAGAACTGAATGAACACAGTGGTGGGCTATTTACCACTCACCATGTCTGATTTTCCTGTCATATGTGAGTCCTCTAATTAGTGACTATAAAAAGACCTCAGTTCTCAGGCTTAAGTTTGATTGGATACTGCTTTTCTTTTATTCATTTTCCTTTTTTATTTGGCTATTCACTGAACATGTTAATTTAAAAACTACATTCACATCTCAAAACCAGTACAAAATATCTAAAGATTTCATTGAATGGATGCTTGATTTGGGGACAGTTTAAAATTTTCCTCCCAACATTAATAATACAACACATTTTAATATCTAAAAAAATAATAACTGGGCTTTTACCCAACATAATCTGTTACTTCTAACTAATGACAAATATCAATTAAGCTCAAGGTAAGGTCTGGACAGGATGATTCTTTGATGATCACTTCTTTCTACTCACACAGCCTCTGTCCTGGTTCTATACTAGGAATGCAGGGCTGGTTCAATATTAGGAAAACTATAAGACTAATTAACTATGTTAGTAATAAAATACATAAAACCATGTGATTATATCAATAGATGCAGAAAAGGCTTATTAACAAAATGCAATACCTCTTTCTGTTAAAAAGGAAAAACACTAGAAAGCATAGGAATAAATGGACCTTTGCTTAAAATGATAGACATCACTAAAAACAAGTGCCGTCATTCATTATACACATGGGAGATAAACTAGACTCCTTTCCCAAAAAATCAGGGGCAAAACTATGATCTCCACTGTCACCACTCCTATTTGTCACAGTATGGGAAATGCTTGCCGTTATAATAAGAGAAGAAATAGACATTCAGGAAATGACAATGGGTAAAGAAGTAGCAAAATTAACAACTTTTATAGATGATAATAATGACAACAATAATAATAATAGCTAGCATTCACATAGTGCTTTAAAGTTTACAAAGCATTTTCTATATGTTAACTTATTCAATTAGATTTGATCAGATGATACGATGGTGTGCTTATGAACCAAAGAGTCAACTAAAAAATAAATGGAAACAATAACTTGAGTGTATTTGAAAGATACAAAAAAAAATCTACACAAATCATCAGCATTACTGTGTAATACCAATAAAAATCAGCTGGATGAGAAATTACATTTGAAATAACTACAGAATGTATAAAATGCTTGGGAGTCTAGCTATGAAGATACACATGAAAACCACATAAATACAACTACAAAGCACTGTTTAAAGAAATAAAGAAAGACCTAAATAATTAGGAAAATAGTATTTGTTCATGAGTAGGAAGAGTCAAGATAATAAAATACTGACTGGATTATTTACTTATTCAATGCCACACTAATCAAACTACCAAAGGATTACTTTGTAGAACTAAAAAAATAATAACAAAATTCCTATGGAGGCAAAAAGGTCAAGAATCTCAAGGGAAATAATGAAAAGTGGGAATGAAAAGAGGGGATTAGTAGCATCAGATTTCACATAATTCTATAAAGTAAGCAGTAATTCTCAAAACAGCTTGGTATTGGTTGAAAAATAGAGATTGAGCAAGGAAACAGATTGGATATACGATATACAGAAGCAAATACATCTAGTACCTAAGTATTATATACATATATGTGTGTATATAATACTTAGGTACTAGATATATTTGTTAGATATATATATATATATGTGTATATATACATAGGAAATATATCTATATATCTAGAAATATCTATCTATCTATCTACCTATCTAGACCTCAGCTACTGTGATAAGGGACTTACTATCTGATAAAAACTGCTAAGAAAATTGTACAGCAGCATGGAAAAAATAAGATTTAGGCTAACACCTCACACCTTATGTCAAGATAAATCCTAAATGCATAGGTGACCTGGATATAAAAGGTCATCTGCCTTAACAAATTAGAGAAACATTCCTCTCTGGGAGGAAGAAAAGTTTGTGACCAAAAAAGGTAGAAAGAAGATCACAGAAGATAAAGTAGATAATTGAGATTAGATAAAATTTAAAAAGCTTTTGCACAAACAAATCCAACGAAGCTAAATGAGAAACAATTAATTGAGGAAAAAATCTTTGCAAATAAGTTTCTCGGATAAAAGTCTCATTTCCAAAATGTATAGGGAACTAATTCAAATTTATAAGAATAAAAGCCATTTCCCAACTAATAAATGGTCTAAGACTACAGCTGTGCAGTTCTCAAGGTAAGAAACCCAAGCTATATATAGTCATATGGACAAAAGCTCCAAATTACTACTAATTAGAGAAAATACACATTAAAACAATTCTAAGATTCTACCTCTCATCTATTAGTCTCGCAATGATGACCAAAAAGGAAAATGATAAATATTAAAGAGACTGTGGGAAAACATGCACCGTTGGTAGACCTATGAATAGGTGCAGCATTCTGGAAAACAATTTAAAATTAGACACAAAATGTTACTAAACAGTGCACGCCATATGACCCAGCTCTACCACTGCTGGGTCTATACCCAAGAGATCAAAGAAATAACAGAAGTTCTTATATGTACAAAAATATTTATAGTAACTCTTTTTGTGGTAGTAAAAAGTGGGACACCAAAGAGATGGCTATCAATGGAGAAATGACTGAACAAGTTGTGGTATATGAATGTCAGTCGGTCAGAAGGTGACGAGATGCTACGATGCTATAAGGAACAAG